ATTATAAAAATCCTAGAATAAGCAAGTTCTTCCTTACCTTTCTCTTGCAGCCTATAATCTACACCAAATACACTAGTACTCTGCACTTTCCTTCTCAGCTACATGAGATTTTCTCAGTCCCGTAGACTCCAAAGCTAGAACAATAAGTTTCCTACTACAACTTGAAAAGAAAAATGTGCCATGACAGAAGCAATTGCTTGACTAATCCTTAGGATGGGTAATGGAAGGAAACAGAGGTCTCTGTACGGTAAGGGATGAGATGGTCAGGAATGGCAAGAATATTTGGGATAAAGTAGGAAATGCTAGGCAAGGCAAGGGAGGGATAGGCAAAGAAGTGAGACTCACAGGAGAAGGAAGCAATGCTAGGCAAGGCCAGGAAAAAAGGCAGGGACATCAAGYTGAAAGGATGGGTAAGCTAGGCAGTTCAAAGCAATGGAGTGGTAGAAAGGGCAAGGGAAGAATKTGGAGGGGTCAGCAAAGCAATACAGAGTTGGAGAAGGAAAGGCAAGGCAAAGAAAGAGAGGAGAAGGACATGGAAAGCAAAATAAGTCAAGAAAGAGGTAAAAAGAGCAAGRCAAGAAAATGGAAACAACATGTATCATCATCCCCCACCTTGACATACCTAGGCTTTTTTCCACCTTTCTTAGTCTTGCCTAGCCTTGCCTACTCCATCTTGCATTGCCTTACCAACCCCTCCGTATCTTTACTTTATCCTTCCTACCACTCCATTTGTTTCTTGCATTGCCTATCCCCCACCCCTTTCCTCTTGGCCTTGTCTTGCTTTCTCCTCYTTGCTGTGCACGCTCCAACTTTAGATTGCCTTATTGACCCCTCTGTGTCCTATTCTTGCCTTTCCTAATACTCCATTGCCTTGTATGGCCTTGCTCATCCATTCCTCACATTGACTTCTCTACCCCATTTTCCTGGCCTGCCCTTGAAAGCCTCTCATTTGATTTGCCTTCCCTTACATCCCCCAATCTTGCCTTGCCTTGCCTTGAAAATGCACCCCAGGCTTTGCCCTGTCTATTTCCCCCTTCCCTTGCATTGCTTTACTACTCCTCCACCACTGAGTCCTCATTACCCCTTTCTTCCCTGTTCTTGCCTTGCTGACTACTTCTGGGCATTCTCTTGGCTACTATTCACTTGTCTTGCCTTGCCATTCCYACCCAGACTTGAATTTCTTTGTGATTTCTACCCTTCCCTTGCCTTGCCTACTCGTGTCTTGTTTTGCATTGCCTTTAATACCTATCCCCCACCTTCATCTGCTTAGCCCTTTCTTCCCTGGCCTTGCTTTGCCTTGCATTCTTCTCCTTTGTCTTGCCTCACCTTTCCAAGCCTTGTCTTGCCTTGCATTAACTCCTGCCTTTTCTTGCCTTTCATTTAATTTCCTTCCCTTAACTTTCTTACTTCTACCTTGGCTACCTATCCTCCATCAAGACATTACTATGATTCTYTTGCCTYGCCTTGCCTTGCTGTGTTTGCTCMTCCTATGACTCTCATTGCCTTGCCTATCTTTTAACTTGCCTTGATTTCCTGTGCCTGCCTGGCCTTACCCATCACTAGATGTACCTTCCTATACCCTGCCTTGYCTACAACTCCTGTGCCTTCTCTTGCCTGCAACTCCATTGCCTGGCTTTGCTTTCCCCTCACTGGTCTTGCCTTCCCTACCTCTCCCTTGACTTGCCTAGAATTGCCTACACTTCAATTGCTYTGCCTTTGCCTGCAAGGCAAGACAAAGGAACAGCAGGCAAGGCAAAACAAAGCCACGGGAGTTTTAGGCAGGATAAGGCAAGAAAGATGTAGGTGAACCTAGGCAAAGCAAGACCAAGTGCCTCAGAGTGCCTTTTCTTGGGAAGCAAAGGACATAGTCTCAGTGTTGCTGGAGCAGATGATAAGGTATCAATGGGGAGATAAAGTCCAGCAAGACATTTCAATTCTGGCCYCTTTTGTGTAGGAGCAAGTCTTGGACGTATTCAATACTGAAGGTGCTATCCAACTTTCAGAAGTGCAAGTTCCTGAATGAAGATGATGATGCTTTTCCATGGGAAGGAAAACACCTAATGCCAGTGTTCGAGGTGCAGATAAGAAGCTGCCTAACAGAGGTAAAGGGCAGCAGCAACTTTCTGTCCTCGCATATTTGGYGTGGAAGCACTGCCTCAATTTGTACAAAATAATACTATTTTGAAGGTTGTCTCCTGAAAGATTGTATTTGGCACATGGTTTTCACTTCTCAGAGGTGATCTTCTGAAATTTCTGRCAGTAACATTTATTTTGAACAGGGTAAGCAGCTACCCTGAGTCTTGATGTGCAGTTTGTCTGGTTCCCTGGGCAGGTAATGCCCAATATAACAGTGTTCTGTCACCTTTGTATGTGATCAGTCCCTGGATATTTTGTCTTTTGGAGGAGGGGATCCCATTTCTTTGGAGATGGGTTCATAGTTCCTCTCTTTGGCAAAGAAACTGCTTTTGGATCCTCATGTTTGGTGGTTTTGGTGAATTTMATGGGCAGTTCTATGGGTTAGAGCTRTTGAACTATTACAGTGGGAATGCAAAAGCCATACACTTGGAAACCTTTTGTCATGGCACCATTTACTGTGTGAGCAGGCAGTGATGCCAGCAGTCAGTTTGGATCTTGACTCTGTGAGACTGAAGGCTTATGATGGCACAAACAGCTGAGAAGGAAAATGCAGCTAGCAGGTGGGGTGGTGAAGTTAGACGGGTGCAGTTGAAGTCATAGGCAGCAGGAGCTTTCTCAGCTGGCACTTATGTGAGCTATGTATTTGTCAGATATTTTCATTTATAGCTGGACTGTGCRAAAGTGTAAACATTTCTTAGTGCAAARAAGTTTGTGTTGCCGTTTGAGTGTGGTGCGAGTAAGAGTTTGTACTTGAAGGGAAAGATCAGGGCAATCTTTGTGTCCTGACGCAGCTGATTTGAGAGCAGGGACGTTTTCAACTTGGCTCTCTGCTCGCGGAGCGGCGTGAGAGGCGCGGGATTCACCGCCTTCTTTTGTAGGTTCACACCGCCATCGTGTGCTGGTGTTCATGAGTGCTGATAGTTCCCGGGTAAAAGCCAAGGGYTTTTCTGTCCGGGCACCACTGRTGTGGGAGCGGATCGGGTAGRTGTTCTGTTCTGGATCCTGGTTCCTCGAGACTGAAAGAATGTGATCCTGCATAGAGCTGGGAAGGAAGACAAAAAGTCTCATTGTTGGCTATGCAGCTGAAAGGCTGTAATAGAAAAGACAATTGCAACACTGGCTCTGTCTTTTAATTTTTTTTTCTGTGCGACCAGCTGCTGAATGTTCTGCATTTTGTAATTGGRCTCTGTGAGACTGAAAGTGCATGAGGGTCCACAGAACTGAGCACACAGACCTGTGTGTGCTGTATTTTAGAAGATGAAAGGGGAAAGTGAAGGCCAGTGCCTTTTTGTTCTAGGACCTTTGAATTGAGAGTAATTCCTGGGCATAGTAAGTTTTGAAGCTGGGCTCTGCAAGAGTGAAAGGATGTGATGGTACCTGTGCCAGAGAAGGAAAATACCTAACACCAGGAAGTGAGTTAAATGTGGCAACAAAAACAGCTTGCTAAATGGGCACCTYTTGTGACTTATATTTACAATTGATATGGTCAGTTTAAGTTCAAGCAGTCTGCAGGATTGAAAGAAAGAAGGTAATAGTACATTTAGTTTGAAAGGAAAGCCCATAGCCCCAAGTTGCATGGTGTTGTTGCTATCCTTCAAAGTGACTGTGAAACTCAGAAACTGTTTTCTCCTATATTGTYTCCAGATGAAAATGATGAAGTTGATCTCAGAGAGAGAGAGAGCTGAAACGTAAAGTTACGTGCAGATGAAATAAAGAAGTACGATACAAATGTGTGTTGRGCACTTTAATGCTTTTGATGTGTCAGAGATCTTGGCTAAACCAAAGAGCTTTAAGCTGCAGTTTGAACTGATAAATGTGCCAGGACAGAAAGCATTCACTGATCTTCCTTTTTGCTCGTGAAAACTGATATTCTCAGTCCAATCACTTTAACATGCTTTCAAGTGTCGAAGAGTTAAACCAGCCATATCTCAGAGAGCAGTAAGAGCCAGAACACAAGGCATTACTTAATTATGCCGTTCTCCTAACAGCCTTTTAAATGCACACAACAGACCTTCATGCTCACATGTATGTGCYGTCACATTTTTCCACTCTCACTGGTCCCTTTCAAATATCCAGCAGTTGCCCCTTCGAAAAAGGCTCTAGAAGGAAAAGCTGGTGCAGGTCTGCACCTTCCCCTTGCCACATGGAAGCCTCAACAAACATGCAGCTGCACTTTCTATTTTCTTTCTCAGTGTCTTTTKCCATAATAGTGTCTGAATCTTGTAGTCCAAGACTAGACTTGCTTCCACTAGGGCTCAGGCAGGAATATTCACCAGCACATGCAKCTTTCCTTGACCTTCCCTTTCACAATTGACAACTTGAAGTGGGAAGGCATCTCCTTCTATCTCCTGTTGCAGGCTGTATGCCATTTCGTTTTCACTACCTGTTTGGCTTCTGACATATTGCCAGCCCAAAAGCAGTCACAGGGCAGGTACTTCAGAAAAGCCTGCTATTTGGAAATTCCTTCTGTGGGAGATCAAGCTTCTAGYGTTTTGCCAGATTAATCTCATGAGAACTGGATGGCACCTTGGCAAAGCCTTCTATTGGGATGACATCTTCGGTGGCAGATCTAGCTGCCCGAAATGTGGAAGATRAAATGCGGGAAAAGAACAGTGTACCTTTCTGATGCATTCCTSTCAGAAGCATCCTAGCTTAGTCTTAAACCTGYGCTGGCTGSRTCTGATCCCTTGGTTGTCC